GATTTGTGGTTTCTAAACGTACACATTTGTAGTCTACCTTGTAAATACGTCGCAAACCATCTTATTAACGAAGGGCGCACACCAATGTCCATAAAATTTCCTAACAAAATGTTATGGTTGATCAAAATCATAGGCTTTACGAAAGTCCGAAAAGGAGATCTTACAACCTTTCCCGTGTTTTCCATGCTCTTATACCAATTATGTACCAAATACACTAACGTCAAAACAGCTGAAGATCCCGCAAGTCCACCAAATTGAGAGTCACTAATTTCTTCTTGAACGTCCTCAAGGATCCATTCAACAGCATACGATTCTTGTACTTTGGAGAGTACGCTAGTCAGGGAAATTGGTCTTAACTCCTCCACTCTATTACATGGGGTAGTTTTGGGGATAGCACAGACGTTAGAAATTTTCCAAACTTCCGGAAATTTCATAGTTTGGAAGGATTGATTAAAAATATGTACTAAAGGTACTGCAAAATATTCAGCGAATAACTTTATTATCTTTAAACAGGGATCAAATGGCCCATGTGCTTTATTGGCATCTATGCCTTTTAATTTGTTTATGAGATTCGTCACAGATGTTTGAAGCAGGGTCTCGTCTGCTGTAATCGTCAGCCACTCGTCAGCTACTTCTGGGTAGTTCTTAGTTAGGTCTGTGAAAAAGGTGTTAATATACTCAGCGGACTCTTTTGCGCTTAGTGGATTTTCAGTTTCCGGATCTATAATAGAGACTGAATCCTGCTTAGTTCCAACGACTTTTTTTATCTGTTTCCACCATATCTTTGGGTTATGGCTGCATATCGGTTTAATTCTCTTATCGTAAAATTTATTTTTCTCTTTCCAAATCTCAGATACAATTTTATTTCGTAAATACTTAAAGCGTTCGACTTGTCCAGGTTGATATGCTTTATCGCGATTATGCATCATTTCCTTGATTCTTCCAGTGATATATGGTTTATCGTCCTCATACACTTTGATTGATTTACAAGGAAAGAAGGTATCAAACATGTTGTTAGTTGCCTCAAGAAATAAACGCACCCCATCATCGACTTCAGCAGCATTAAATACAAATGACCAATTATATTCTCTAATGAACTGCTCAAATTGAAGTATAGATGAGTCTCTCAGCGGTCTTACTGTTACTGTTCTTTTTCCTTTTTTGTTTCCTAACTGATATATATATATATATATATATATATATATATATATATATATATATATATATATATATATATATATATATATATATATATATATATATATATATATATATATATATAATATTCTACAACAAAAGCACTGGGTTCAGAATGTAAACAAAGGGTTTGTTTACATTACATACTTTACATGGCCTGGCTTTACGAAACCTTTTTTGGCTACTAACACCAATGTTTCTGACAGAGTTGCACAAGCAATACTGTAAACAGAAACAATATATCATCAAACAATTCTATCAAACAAGTTGCAAAAGAACAAATGCTGTTTCAGCTGTTTAATTGTTACATTCACACCATGATGATTCATACATTTACAGTTCAATTAAAAAATCCCAAATCTTGTATAAACACAGTCCTAGCATACGTGTACGCTTGTAAGTCTTGTAGGCTTGAATTTATTTTCAACAAGACGCCGACTCGGCGTTAACCTCGGGTCGGTGGATATAGGGGATCGTCTAGTAAATATCCAAAAATTGTGTAAATCACGATAGTTTATATTAATAGTTCACTAGTATAAATGGTGAATCAGTTAATCAAAGCTCCGTTTTAATATTTTATTGACAATAATTACTGGCCATCATCAAACCTATTGTTTTCTCTCTGCATTATATCAGCGAATGTCGAGAAGTTTTCATTTAACGTTCTACTGAAAAACGGGAGCGGCCGTTTTGGTTGTATAGGGAAATTCCGGCTCAGGGGTAAATGTTTATACGCGTCATATTCTATGTACGCGTTAAAATAGCACACAACATTATTAAAAATAATGCAGCGTGCATCAGTGCACACAGACATTATTAGCAATAATGCATCTTCGTCACCCTGATATGTACACGCGATAACGTGAACATCCCAAGATGAGAAGGTGACAGTGCTAAAGGCCCCCCATACGGTGTCGTCGGGTGCCTGAAGCACTGTTGGAAACGGTCGCTGTGAGAGTGTGAGTCTTTTCAGTTCAATTTTATAGAGAAATAGTTTCGTTTGCGCTTGTGGGATTTTATCCTAGATATACGCATGTGCAGAATACACCATAAGTTCTATTCCCGTGTTTATCCAATACGCTATTTGAGTAAACCTTATCATTAATGATAATATGTAAACTAGAACACTATTATTTGCCTCCGCTTGTGGAGATTTTAATTTAGGGCGATTAATTAAACTGAAATCTGTTCTATCACAATGCACTACAGTGCCTATGGTTATGTCTATATGCATGTCCTCACAAATGTCTAGTGTAACGTTGGATAGGTTCATTGTCATACGGTCCCGACAAGCAGCAACGTACAGTAGTCTTCCAGCCGAAAATAATTACTTTTGATTCGGGTCAGTAATTATAATAGATGAAAGTTGGCCGCGGTATTCCCATGCCATGCATACGATGTATTGTACATTATATCAACATATACTCGAGAATAGTTGTCCAGCTAAACATGTATGTCAAAATTATCACATCTTCTGGTTTTAAATCAACAATTCTGACGGATTTTGTGCAAGGACAGCTTCGGGTTCCGTTTCGCTTTGGCCGATGCTTGCCGGAAGTACACTTATTTACCGGAAGTTGTCGTCTCCTCCGCAGGCCCTTCGATCTTCGACTACGCGCGCGGCTCGACACAAAAAAAAAAACAAGAAAAAAAAAATAGGAGCCGAATTTAAGACCTCGGTGTCGTACCGACCAGAGGTAATAATAACAATCCAATATAGTGGATCAAGGACATATGCCATCATTCCCATCAATACTCACTCAGAGTGAACCAAGAGTATGAATTATTACCATAACGAAGGCTGTTATTTTGCCCAAATGAACTAAAGTATGCATAAATCAACTCCTTAATCCCTTCACCACTTTTTCGGACGAAAAGTAACAAAAAATTCGTCGAAATAAGCAACTTTTCAGGCCAAATATTAGCAAATATATCGTATTCACTCATGTTGGCCGCGCATGTGAACGCCACAGGGGGTATGGGTTCAATAACTTATGGATCGACCAATCAGGATCGTTTTTCAATCCCGTGTGGCCAGAGCCACTCAACGATGGCTACGAGATTGTATCTGAAATAGCCTTCACCGAGGCAATCTCGTTCCCCGAGCCTGCGATCCTTGGGAAGGAAACTTCCGAAGGCTCTGGGATAATCCGAATCAGACATACAGAAAACTGTATGTCGACCGAACTGCGCATGCGTTGACAAAAGCAAAACAAATTGTTTGAAATATTTTATTGTTTCGTCTATAAAATGATGATTTTTTCGGGGTTTTGGTGGAAATGTTGATGTTCTTCATAGTGGGATACAAAAGGTGTGTTAGTGACTGAATAAGGAAAATATTGCGTGTGAAACAGGATCAGTATAGAGCCGGCAGGAGCCGCGAAGAGTGCTGTTGTCGAAGAAAAATGTCACAATTAATTGTAATCTTGTCCATTCACCTCTGTGTCAGTTTGAAAAAGCTTTAAATGTAGAGACATTTGTGGTTCCTCCAGCATAATTTAGCCATTTAACGCTATTATGTTTCTAATGGTTGAAAGAGCGCGTGGAAAGGGCAATTTAAGAACAAAAACAATTACAATGTACTGTGTGTTAAATATTGCTACTGTAAACTGTAGTATTTGTTACTGGATTGGTTTCCAGACTCCTACTCAGTCTTCTATGTATATATAATTAGGTAGAATATTTAATAAAGTGTTGTTATTGGTGTCAGGAATGGGATTATCTTGAGTAAAATAGCCTCGAAGATAAACCCGAGTTACGTACGAAAGCACATAAATGAACAGATAAAATATCTAACTTGACTCACAAGACATTAAACAGCGTGGATGACAAGTTAGTGAAGAAGATTGAGACGGATTGAAATGGCTACGAATAGTTTTCCAGTGCCGGCGGCAATGGCGATGAAAGGCGATTTGCCTCAGAATTGGGCATTCTTCAGAGCACAGTACGAAAACTATGAGATAGCGACTAGTCTTGATAAAAAAGATGAAGCAGTACGAATCGCTACGCTTATGTCGGTTATGGGTAGAGAATGTTTTAGAATATATCAACATATTGACATGAGTGGAGAGGACAGAAAAGACATAGCAAAGGTCTTGGATGCACTTCAGAAACATTTTGAACCAACACGAAATGTGATATACGAAAGGTTTAAGTTTAACACTTGTGTACAAGAGCAAGGAGAAACGATTGACCAATATATTACGAAGCTTAAGCAAATGGCAGCAACTTATTGTAAGTTCGAGCAACTGGAAAACGAGTTAATCAGAGATCGTTTAGTGTTGGGAGCCAAAGACAGCAGTGCGAAAGCCCGAATGTTGAGAGAACCGAATCTTGATATCCAAAAGGCGATTGACATGTGTAGGAATAGTGAAATAGCAAATGCTCAATGGAAAACAATGAACAATGAACTTGATGGAGTGGCAGCAGTGAACTACACAAGCAATGAAAAGAAATCTGGTGGCTCCAAGAAAAAAGAGGGATTAAATAAAAATAATGGAAGGACGAAGGAATATTTTAAAGAATCGTGTAAGTACTGTGGTGGCAAGCATAAAAGAGACAAAAAACAATGTCCAGCTTATGGCGAGACCTGCAATAATTGCAAGAAAAAGCATCATTTCGCAAGAGTCTGTAAACAGAAAGTGAAGAAAGATGTCCATGCAATTATGGAAGAGCAGTCATCAGATGAATCACTTTAACAAGTTGAAGAAACGGTTGGTACGGTTAAAACTGCAGGTGAAAAATGGTATGCAATCCTGGGTCTTAGCATTAGAGATGGTCCCCAACAACTGGTACAATGCCAAATGGACTGTGGCTCTACATGTAATGTCATAAGTTACAAAGAGTATTGCAAGATTGCACAGGATGGTAATCCAAAGCTACAGAAAACCGATGCAAAGCTACGACTATATGATGGTTCCGTGATGTTACCATTAGGATGTTGTGAATTAAGATGCAACCAACCTGCAAGTAGCTACCTTCTTAAATTTCAAGTGGTGGATTCTAACCAAAAGCCTCTTTTGTCAGCAGCGACGTGTGAGCAGTTGGGACTGTTGACTGTTAATCATCAAGAAAGAGTTAATGCATTGACAGTACAGAAGGACACTCCTGTTACCACCAAAGTGACAAGCAGCCCTTTACCTCAAGAATGCATATTAAACAAGTATTCTGATGTCTTTAATGGTCTTGGAACTTTTCCAGGAGAATATCATATGGACATTGATACTAAGGTTAAAGCGGTCCAAGCTCAGCCACGAAGAGTCGCAGTAGCTTTAAAGTCGGAGTTAAAGAAAGAGATCGAAGAGATGGAAAGACGAGGAGTGATTGCCAAGGTAACAACATCCACGGAGTGGATAAGCAGTATGGTTGCCGTGCGGAAACCTTCGGGAAAACTAAGAATATGCATAGATCCGAAAGACCTCAACAAGGCACTCCTCCGTCCACACTATCCAATACCAACTATTGATGAAATTTTGCCACGACTGGCAAATGCCAAAGTCTTCACAGTGTTAGATGCGAAAGAGGGATTTTGGCAAGTAAAGCTTGATAAACGAAGCAGTTACCTAACTACATTTTGGACGCCATATGGTCGATATCGGTGGCGCCGTATGTCATTTGGAATAAGCACAGCGCCTGAAGAGTTTCAGAGAAGGTTACATGAAGTATTCGAAGGTTTGTCGGGAGTTGAGGTGATAGCAGATGATATTTTGGTATATGGATTAGGTGACACAGAGGAGCAAGCTGTCGAAAACCATGATCATTGCCTAGAAGCCGTACTTGAAAGAGCAAGACAACGCGGTCTGAAGCTGAATAAGCAAAAGCTGAAGTTACGGAGGACCGAAGTTTCATATATGGGTCATTTGTTGACGTCCAAGGGACTTCGCCCGGATCCACGAAAGATCCAAGCAGTCATCGAGATGCCTACACCAGACGGAGTGCCAACCTCGTTCCCAGGGTCTCTCCGTCTGTCATCTGGGAGAGACCCTGGCTGCGGCTGGTCACGTGCCTCCCAGATTCTGGGAGGTAAATTTAATTGTAACTGTGAGAGGGGTGGGAAAGGAGAGTGTTTGTAGCGTTTTAAAATTGCAACTTTGGGTGATGAAATTTACTGTAAATTTGCAACAAGAAATCGTAATTATAAATAGAACTCTTGAATTAATATTTATGTCGTGACGTTCTACTCTATAATCTGGTGTCGAGCTACAATTAAAGCAAGTTGGATCAGATTTCATTATAGACTTGCCAAAGAAAGCACGCTTGCCGCTTGTGCAGCGTGGCAATATTAAACTGTGATTAAACCTACAAGAAAATATATATCTCTAGACCGAACAGTGTGGTTGTTATTTATTTAGTATTAAAGTTTATCCTAATACTCGGACCAAAAGAATTTATTTATTGATGAGATGTGGAATTGCAACGAAATAGCGAGATCTTTTGATTTCCGAAATATCGCCAACTGTATCCAGATTGTTGATCTATATAAAGGCCTTATCAAAAAACTTAACGCCCGTCAAAAGACTATAAAATTGGCCCTTGGCATTGCTGAATCCAACGATCATGGTATATGTCAAAGTATAGCTGTCCGTTGAAAATCTACGGTATTAAAATCATACACCAAAGATAAGTCAAACGGCAAATTATATGTCACTATATTATACATGTCTTTCAATGAGCACTGTTTAGTAGTGTTCACCACCTTTATAAATTTTGTAAACAGCTTTCGTTTTGACATGAATAAGCTTTTATTTTTTGCTTTATATGCATTCTTAATATATACAAGTGAGATTTAAATTTTTGCTTTGTGAAATAGAATACCGTTATTTTTTAATGGACAGCTTGCATCGTCTATATCATATACAGGATTGCTTGTGTGTAAACGCATTATTCACTATATGACATTGACACTATCAAATAAATATAAGTAGCAAATGATTAATGAGTTAGAGATAAACAGGTGATTCACAATGAAAACTTTAAAAATGTTAGTAGAAGTAGAAAACTCGAAAATTTATGTCTATTCGTATGACGCCAAATGACGGTCTGTGCGCATCTGACACTCTAAATTTGTGATATAGATTATAGTATATTAGCACAATATAATGATTAATAGAGACCAAGAAAAAGGCTAAAGTCTTACTA